TTTGATTCGCCTCTTCAAAAAAAAAAAAAAGGGGTTTGATTCGCAATCTTCAACCGCAAAGCCGAAAATGCACAATCTTCAAACAGTATCATCTAAATCACAAAGCTGTAAAACAAATAAATCTCATAGATCCTCTGCTTTCGACATTCTCGAAAGCCGGCTCGGCCTATGCTGGAAATCGCCTATGCGCCTATGGTGATGCGACGATGGACGAATCAAAGCCGCCAAAGCTCACTTCACTAAATCACCTTCTACTGTACCAATACGGACAAGCGAATTCGTCATTGCCGACCTTCGAGCGTTCAGCCGACTGGGGGAGTACGAAATCGACGGCGCGTGGTTCACGTTCTTGTGCAAACTACACCGGAAGGAGCCCGGATGCGACGTGGGAGAACATGGCTGAGAGAGGGGGCTTTTTTCGATTTTGCTTCTGTTAGTTTCATGGCTGAGAGAGGGGGCTTTGGCCGTGGTTTTGGAGGGCGCGGGCGTGGCGGAGACCACGGAGGTCGCGGAAGGGGTGACCGCCGTCTGTGAATCTGTGAAAAAAAAAAACGACGATTAAGCGCAGAACGGAGAGTGGGTGGTCACAGTGCAGTTGGAATTTGTATTTATCTTGTGATCGACGGAGAGTGGGATGGCGGCTCCATTCCGGCAAGAACGGTGCGAGAATCGCCGCAATTGGACACAACGATACTTTCCGGTGTTACCACAGCGACTACGGCGGTGGATCCGACGGCATCGCATTGCGGAGTCTGCAACTTGTAGCGACACGCTGGAAATAAACAAAATAAACCAAGTGGGGGTAATAGTGCCAGGTAAACAACCATGTCATCACTCAACCGGAAACAAGAGGTGGATACCGGCTATGTGGTGAAATTGGAGACATTTGCATGTTAAATGGGCTAATTGAACGTTTTTTAGGTTGGGTGGCCTGATTGCACTATCGCGTTATGTTCAGTGGCCAATTTGGCCCTTATTCCTATTATCTATTTATTATTTGGGCTGTCATTTTGGGCCAGTATCTCGGACTTTGTATGCGCTCTTTTGGGCCTAGCGCCCCGAACAATAAAATTACTATTCTCCTCCTCCGTTTTGTACTTCTATTCCCGATTTACGGTGGATTCGGTCTTGACAAAACCATCAAATATAAAAATATAATTGTTTGGGTAATGTACAGTGCTTTATTTAAGCGATACAAACACAAGTAGAGAACAATAGAGAAGGGTGTTGTGTGGTGCTCTGGACAACTATGCACACTCATACACAAAACACCATGCGCACCATTGAATGTCACTGAAATCATATGTACACTTCTATATTATAATATGCACACGTATATATTACCCTGTGCACATCTTCACTTTCTAAAATATATATATATATATATATATATATATATATATATATATATATATATATATATATTGCAGTTATAAGTATAGCAATTTGGAGTTTGACTTTTTTATTTTTTATTTATTTTCCAAATAGTTGTTTATATATTATAATTAAAAATTAAGGTCGCCCTGTTGTAATTAGTTTTGAGGGTACGTGAACATATTACATAGTGACACCTGGCTGGGGACATATTTCAACGTTGTTAATTACGTTGTGCATCACTCTCATTAGTTCACTATTTTCGTCTATTTTATCGTTTGAAGACTCGAATATTGTTGAGATGTCAACGCCATCCCATGTGCTCCATCATGTTATTGGTTTAACCTACTTCTCAACCAAAACAAAACTCTTTAATTAATATATATACACACGAAATATATATATTAATAAATATTTTTAAAATATATAAACAAAGAGATTTAAATTTATAATATAATTTCACGAACCAAAGAAAAGGAGAACGAAGGAAAAGAGATCCAAGTCCTATGCAATGTTGAAAAAATCGCTAGGCGTCTGGGGACCGCTTAGGGCGCCTAGAACACCTAGGGTGCCTAGGAAGCCGACTGCCTAGCGCCTAAGCGCCGATTAATCGGCGCCTAGACGCGATTTTTGCAACACTGGTCCTATGAATATCCACACTGTCCTTAAAATCGATTTGCTACTTCCTGTGAGTGCTAGCGTCGGTCTCCCAGTATATTAACGATACTATAGTTTGAGCACTCAAACTATAGTACCATCGACGAACTAGAACAAAGGCTTGACACACAAGCTTTTCACGGAATGTATGGGAGGAGAATTTTGGAAGAAAAAGACAACGTAGGACTGTAGGAGTAGAAAATGATTTTTCAATATAATTAATCTTTTAAAATCTGCCCATGCACCAAGGCTTTATATATATGATGAATTAAATCTTACTAGCGACACATAAATCTAATTTAATAATCGAATTATAACATTTGAAACAGTTATACTAAAAATTAAAATAATATCTGCGATTACGAAATTAAGTACAATTAATTTGTATTGATCATTAATAACTTGTTTTAAAAGTACTTGAGTGGTCGAGAAGTTGGTGTAGTCCGAAAAGTTATTACCTTTCGATAATTACCGAAAAGGTATTTCACTGATTACAGCACATTTCGTTAGGTCATTTAATTAGAACCTTAATATTAATTAGCACATTAATGTGCAATTAATTTGCAACTCTTCGTGGCATCTTTATGGGAGGTGCTACATTAGCACCTTTACGAGAGGTGATTCCTAACACCTTTTTGGAGGTATATTTAATTAGCACTTTTTGGTTGTCCACCGAAAGGTAATTGTATTTTTTTTTTAATTTTTAATTTTTTTATTTTTTTTGAGAATATCATAAAATTTGACTTCGTTTGTACAAGTTAGAAAATTATTTCAGAAATTTGGCATATGCAAGGCCAATCAATATTTCGACGATATTCGTGTACACAGGTCGTGTTTGCATACCATCAAGCCTTTCCAAACTTAATTTTTCAACTAAAATAGGTCTAGTTTGAAAATTAATTTCTCATTCACCCATTATCCATTTTGAAGGTACTTATCAATTTCTCCATTTCACTATGAAGAACCTAAATTCACGTTGACCCGATCCAAATCGGAAGTAGACTCCACATATATTTGTACTACAAAATAACCACTCAAAATTGTCATTTTAACTAAAATTTTCCACATTTAGTAAATGAGAGGTCACACTTCAGGCGATAAAATAGAAATTTGATATCTGCCACGAGTATTGGGGGGTTTGAACTTGTGTTAAATTTTTTTTGAGCAAAAGTGTACAACTTTTGATTAAGCCTATCACATGCGACTTTTCTAGTGCAGTTTACCTTATATATATAATTGCTACAAGTTTTCTTCAGTCATAATTTTTTTTTTAAGGAGGAAGAGTGAAATCATTCCAATATATATGTGTATATGAAAATGGCATCCATGCCATAGACCATACATGTCCGGATGTCCCATACTTGTTATCCAACTTATAAATTATTTATTCTAAAATGTTTGGACTTACATATAAGGCAAAGGCCACCAATCACATGAATTGTTATTATCCCACTATCTATTTGTTTAGCCTAATATAATATCATTTGCAGACAAACGATTATGATTAGACTATTATGATTTTTTTAATGACGAGACATTTGCGCAATTACTATTCGAGTATTTAATGTAAATCACACATAAAAGATAAATTATATTCAGTATTAAAAAAGTCTTACGTGATTAGCTGGATTAAAAAATATTGACAAGAACTGTATGATACTTCACCAATTGGTTAGCTCTTTCAGGACATTGGATTATTATTTTAATGCATACCTTTCAACTGTCACAACTGTTGTAACAGCGCGCCACGTACGCACATACTGAATGCCGCCAAACTGTCTGAATACACAATGAGTTGTCAAACCTTAATTGCCGCATGTAAATACTTATCCACCTATTGTCACAAAAATATATATCATATCCCCAAAAAACATTTTACATAGTGAAATCAATGGTTGATTGATAAAATGATAAGATTTTATTTTATTTGCAATAAATTCATTGTCATCACTATCTGAATATATATTGTTGTAAAATTTATCATGTGATTTTTGCCTACAAAGAATCAAAAAAAGTCAAGAAGATAAATTATTAAACGACAAATTAGTATTTTAAATTTTATTAATGATATGTGGTTGATGAAGAACTGTACAAACAGTTGTATGGGGGCCATTGCAAAAGTGCTTATCCAATTTTGAGGATTAGTTTGTAATGAAAGAGCTACACGATGAGGTTTAATTTGCTTTTTCCATCAAGGTTCTCGATTATTAGCCCGAAAAATCTTTCTACTCGAATATTATTGGTCTTCAATTCGATCAGTTGGATTGTGATAGGTATGTCAGGTCACGTGAGGCTTGCCATGCGTTTGCAAAAAAAGCCTGGTCGACTAGCAACATATTTCAATTCAAACTGGTAAGTACCTCGGTACCTTTTGCTTGGTGGAGTGTGGGTATCGTGGGGTCGTTTCTGCAACTGTTTGGTCAGAAATGATTTGTGATCGTAGTCATCGATTACTTCTCCAAATGATGACAGAAATTGCTAAGTGTGTAGTATTGGGTTAGAAATTAAAGTACTAAGTATTTCAGAGTGTGTCGATCTCTCTTCCCCATTATATATGCACATTTAATGCTACCATACTTATATAGAAGATTTAAGGCACATGCCGGAGTTTCAACATGGCCTCCATGTGTCCCTTTGTCATACAGTCGTCATATCAATTATGCCAAGTGTCGTTTGTACATGCACCTAATTGAATGCATGATGGGACATGGTAATTAAAGACACTTGATGGGTTCTAAGTTTGGTTTATTTAGATCGGTAACAATATGTAAGTCCGCACATGTCATAAGAGCAAAGAACACGTGTTTACGTCGGGTCGAATAGTATACACCTGGATAGTGTAATATTCCGGTGGTATATCCCTATCGAGTACAATGGTGTATCCGCATGAATATACAAATATAGTGAATTGTATTTAATTAATACTCCGTAGTATTATCTCGATGCCTATATCCATTACCCAAAAATACTATACTGAAATATACATTAATTTATTTATTTATTTTAATTTTTTTTCTGGCTATGTCGTAGCCTCACAAGTGTACACTGTACAATTCTAATCCTAATTCACTTCAATTCTATAAGGCACTACCAGCACTGATCGGTCTCCCAATTCCGGCGAGTATTTCCGGTGAATCTCGATGACATTGTAGGCGAGTATAAGTTGACACTCCGTCGACGGAGGAAGAGTTGCCGATCATAGTCCGCGCGTTTATCGGGATCCGACAGCGTGGAGTAGGCAGTATGAATCTTCATGAACTCGTCGGCGGAGGCGTCCTTACGGCGACTCCCCGCCACGTCGGGGTGGCAGACACGAGCGAGTCTCCGGTACGCCGCTTTGATCACCTCGCTCGTCGCTCCCACCGGAATCCCGAGAATCTCGTAAAACGACGTCGCGGAGGAGGGCGATTTTATCTCCGGATGCAACGGCGGCGACGACGAAAAAGCGGCGGCTTCCGTCTCCTCCTCGGCGTAAGCCGCGGTTGCGACCGCGCAGACGGGCGAACTCCGCGGCTGCCGGAACTTAACAACCGACGGCGACGGCGGAGAAGGAGAATTGTCGGCGGCGAAGGCGGTGGCTCTGGGCGGCGGCGATTGGAGGAGGAAGTTGGAAGAAGCGGAGAAGGAAATCATGGTGGCGATTTGGTAAATTCAAGTTGAATAATGAGACGCGGAGCTTATCTTGAAAGTTGAGTCAAATAAGGGTCTGTTTGGGGTGGAGATATATACAGAAAGTGGGATCGGAGGAATTTAACCATGGTTAAGTTAAAGAGAGCGAGTGGAGTTTACTTTAATTGGAATGCTTATCCATTTTTTTTGCTGAGTCAGCAAATTCGTTATTATCATATATGTCGACCATATATGATTGGCCGAGGTATGAGGTGTCGGTCAATTATTGATTAATAGATTTATGTGTCTCACTCAATAATGGTGCACTAATGCTAAGCCGTCTATTGAGTTTCTGACTTTTAGCTAAATTAATTATAGATAATTTAGCTTACTTTATCTTATTATAATCTTTTTGTCAATTATGATCACGAAATAGGTTTTATTCTTAACATATATTCAGATAGTTGTTACATATAATTTACATATTGATTTGATTCGATCGATTCATTTCACAGATAAAGATCCGTTAGACGGTCAGATACACGTGTGACCTATAATATAATAAGTGATGTGTAAGAGTGTATAAGAGTAAGGCGAATCCACAAAAAAAGGAGAGAACAATAGAAAAAGATTGGAGAGAAAATACGAAAAAGATTATTTGGTAATGTGGAAGAGTTGGGCCCACAAAATAGCGAGATAAAAGTAAAGTTATTGATTTTGTATTTACGGTAAGTGTAATGTGTATTAATAAACGAGATAAGAAATTGTAAGAAGCAAAAGTCCCAATTTTGTATTTAAGTTTAGTATGTATAATGTGTATTAATAAACAAGCTAAGATATCTTTTAAAAAAATAAAAAATAAATAAACAAGCTAAGATAAGTAACGGTAAGCAGCAAAGGTCTTGATTTTGTATTAAAAGATTATGAGTTTTTATTTAATTTTTAAGAATTGAACATTGTTGACTATGTGTAACTTTTAAAATAGAAAAGATTTTTGAAGTAAATATAAAGAAAAAGTATATTTTAACCAAATAATTTAATTTGGGTTTTTCACATTTTCCGTGTATGACATATTTATATTATTTTCTTAGTAAACACATTAAAAAATGACACAATTCAACTTTCAACATTCTCTCAATCAAGCTTTGGCTTGAACCCGTCAAAGTATACCGTTACAAAGTAAATTGATCAACTTTTTCATTTTTATACTCTCTTTAAAAATTATTTTGAAATTGTGTTTAGTAGTACTTTTAATGTAATTTCTAAATTATTTATAAATTTATATACTAATACTAAACTTAATATTATAAAAACTTGAATTAAAAATAATTTCAGTCAAATTTCGTTAATCGAATCAAGACACATAAAATAGAGTAAATTAAATGTTTAATTATAACTTTTTTGTGAGACCGGTATTGCCCAAAGTAGTGAGATTTAACTTATTCTTCTAGTGCTTGTGCCTCCAGCATCGGCCTGCAGGAGGAGCATTGAGAGGTCCTCCCAGGGGGGGGGGGGGAGGGGGTCCGTCATGAGATTACTCCCCCACTCCGCAGTCTGGTCTAAATTAACTATGAAGTCAGCACATTTGTTCCCTTCTCGCAACACATGAGAAACCTGAAGATGATTAAGCCCATCGCCAGGTGCTTGCAATCCGGTATAAGTCCTATCGCACAATCTTTAAGGAAGATCCCGCCTTGCATTATTCTGATGACACTACCACAGCCTCCGAATCTTTCTCAATAATCATCTGATAAACTCCCTAATTTTTAATGACACATGAACCTTACCTTAAACTCCACAACATAGTATATGCTTTATGGAGGGTGTAATAGTGTACTTGATAGGATATGATCTTATCACGGTAGCTAAAGTGGATAATGAGTACGGATAATATGATATATACACATCATCGGATTTACATGTCCTATTGTCCGATGAATCGTCTAAACGTAGTTTCGATGGTGAAATCTGACATCTTATCCAAAACAAAAAGGAGACTGTAGATTAGACCATGGATGACAAGCCTTCTAGACAATATGTTCTTGCCCACAAATAATCATTATTTAATTAGTTTTAAAAAATATATAACTTTAGCTGAATATATGTGGCAATTTTAAAAGGTTAATTGTGTGGTATATCTTATTTCAATCTGTACTGTCCTACTTTATAGTAAACTAGCGGCACGCGCCATGCGCGTTATGCAAAGTCCAACACAAATTGAAAAATAACATTGGCATATGAATGTTTATTTAGACGAAAAATAAACTTCACCAAAAAAAAAACAAATGTTTTGAATACCTAAGTAATTTGTATATAATTAATGTATGATGAATTACAAATAACAGTCCAGAGTTGTGGAAGAAAAGAGGGAGAAGAAACATAGGCTAAGGAAAAAAACAAACAAGAGAAAAATAATGGCCGCTTCCGGACTGGAAGAAGGCAACATATGCTCATTGAAACTATTTCACGTTCACATGGGCATTGGTTTATAATGCTCATTCAAACATGTTTTACACTTGACAAAATTCGAGATATAAATAGAACCATACAAAGTGTACCAAAACTTTAAAACCTAAGGACTTCAAATTGGAACTGACAAAAACACAATCTAATAAGGGTAAATTGGAAACACACTCTAATAAGGGTAAATTGAAAACACAAACTAATAAGGAAATAGTGTAGCACCCGTGATTCTTTGCTACATATTTTCGAGGTTTGCTACATCATTCTAGATCATTCTTACACTTTTATATAGCTTCCCATTGTTTGTAAAATTTTCTATAAGCATGTACATAGGTTTGTGTAGAGGTTTATAGAATATTCTAAAATCTATATAAGTCCATAGGTTTGTGTAGAGATTTACGGAAGGTTCTAAAGTTTAATTTTTAGCGTACAATCTAGTAGATATCCACCATCCATTAAAAAGGTGGAATGAGTATAAATACCCTCAAGGACTCATTTGTAACCATCCTCAACAATCTAATCATTTCATAGTCCAAGTAATCCAAGTTTCATATATATAGAGTACATTCATTCACATTGGATGATATTATTGATACAAAATGAAGTATCAATTATAATAAATAAATAAATAATCTAAATTAATTAATATTATTGAAACAATACCCATAAAATCCTGGCGTTTAAAAGATACCACTTGCATTACAAAAGAATTTATAGGACTGGTGGGGTCTTATGGGCGTATCGTTGTAGCAAAACCATGGACCAACCTATCAGGCGCTTAGTTTCTCATGCATAACGGTGCTTCTCTTTAGGTTCTTCCATGTGCTAGCTTATTTATATAAATATTGTGTATACTCTTCAGTGAATAACATCAGAACCATAGATTTATTTCCTCAATCCAACTAAATTTGTTTTAAATAGTTTTATTACTGATTTGTTACCTACGTACATCTTTTTTGCGTGAATTGATACATTAACTTTTTAAAATAAAAAATTAAGTATGTGAGTTTAACGTACTGAAATTATGTTTTGTTAAAAATCAACTTCAAACCGGATTTGGTTAGTCCTATGTTAGAGCCACTCTCACTTTTGTTTCACTGGCTTCTTCCAGCAGGTTGGCTACCAAGCTGCCATGGCAGGCAATAATAATTAAAAAAAAAAATTAATTATGTAAATCTGAAGAAAAAAAATTATTTTGGTCATATTCATTCCCCTAATCACCTTATGACATTAAAAGACAAATTCATAGAAATATCAAATTAAAAGAATACAAATACAAATAAAATAAAACAGATGAAGTGTATGAAGTCAAATAGTAAAAAATAATTAAAAAAATCTATACAAATGACAAAATATTATGGAAATTTTTTTTTCTTATTTTTCACCAATCAATAGGTTGAAAAAGTAAAATCAAATCAATAAAACAATAAAAAACTGCAATTGAGTGTCAGCGAATCTATACAAATGACAAAACCCTAAACCTATAAACAGTAATATCAGTAAACTTCACAAATTAAAAAAATCAAATGTGTTGAATACTTGGGTAATCATTTTGCATATAGTTAAGACATGATGAATTACAAATAACAGTCAATTGTAGAGGGAAAGGTGGAGAAGCTAAGAAACAGATGTGAAGGAAAGAAACAAACTAGAAAAAAAAATAACGGAGAGAGAGAAAGGGTAAGCCACAGAGAAGAAACGAGAAAAAATGGCCAAGAGAGAGAGGGAGAAGAAACAAGAGAAAAAATGATGGAACAATCTAAGTCACATAATTATTTTTTTTAATAAAATAAAATTACATGTCAGGAGTATGACTTTAGGGAGTACCCGCGTGGGAAGTCTATGAAGTCTCGGTACAAAGAATAGACATAAAATGATAAAGAAAAATTGAAAGAAGTACAAATAAAAGGGATGAAGTCTATGAAGTACAGTATTGCAGCCTCTAAAGCAACAGTACAATACAGTAAGAAAATCATTCCAAGCCACCTAACTTAAATACTTTTTGACTTTTAGTGTTCTACTTTATACCGCCGGAAGCCGGAATTTGAACGACGGGAAGCCAACAAGGACAAAATAGACAAAACAATTTTCGAGAAACAACCATCCATGCACAAAGTACAAAAAATTTCGCCTGAAAAAGTCTTGGGAGAAAATCAACTGAGCCTTTATATTATACACAGATGTTAGTAAACCTAATTCTATAATTATCGATGATTTATCGTGAGTTTCTTCTGTTTTAGAGCAAATGCTATAGAAATTTTGAGATTAAGAATATACGTCCTAAATAGAGATTGGAGATATTGGTTCTCATATAATTGATCAGTTTGATTTGTCACACTTCATATAGTTTTTCTTCCTCTTTTTAATAAACTTTTGTATCATATCAAAAAATAAAACACTTTAAAAGGATTCTTTTTATTAGCAATGAAAAATAAAATTATTCTCTACGTGTAGTAAAATACTACACAAATTTAAGAGAGCGTGTGAAGTATATTGAGAACATTAATTAAATCTAGAATATATTGTCGATTTTCCTCATCTGAACATATAAACAAATTTTTTATTTCAAAATCTTATTTAATTTAAAAAAGCAAATCCAATAACTATGTAAAGAATGTTGAATTTTATTTTATTTTTTTTTAAAAAAAACAATTTTTATTTAACATTCAAATATTATAAATATCAATTAGTATTATTTTTTAGACTAAGAAGAAACCTTCTAGAACTAATAAATAGAAAATTGGCAATTGTGAAGATCAGAACACCTGGACAAGAAACTCCGATCCATTCCAAAGAAGAGAAGTGCGTAGCTAGTTGCGAAAAAAGTCGCAACATATGCATATAGACTTTTGACAATTTCACATAGGATCCAAAACATCCTTATCTCGTTTCTACACCACAAGATTTCCATTCAACTTGGGAATTTTGAAAACAACATTAAATTGCATTCATCATCACCATATTTCCAACTTGCCTACCGGAGCTCCCAGCAATCACTTTGACAAATTATGTGTGTCCTATTGAAAATTCCTTCGAGTGAAAATCACACTTGACGTGACACGTTTTGATCGAGAAACTATTATAGCCAAATAATATACAATGTCGAATGAGCTTTTTTATTATTAAGAGTAAGTATGATACTGGTCAAATATGAAACTCTAAAGTGTCAAGTTACTTATATAGTTATATATAGAGATTAGTGTATAAACTCACATATGATCGATTCTGTCACGAACATTGGGGGTTTGAGTTTCGGATAGGCTCTTTATGTGTAAAAAAGTGTACAATTTTGTGTTGAGTCTCGAAACTATATTAGTGTCAAGATCAAGCTTTAGCTAGTAGGGATGGTCATGATAAGCGCTTACCATTACGCCAAAAGTTAAGCTAGTAGTGAATGCATAATTTTATTTCGTAGACGATAGAATGTTAGACTCGACTCTCTAAACCGCTACCAAACAATTGACTCGATTTACCTACTCATGAGGTTTAAATATACTCCGACAAAAATGGGAAAATCTGACTGTATTAAAAAAAAAAAAAAACAAAACAAAAAACAAAAAAAAAACAAAACAAAAAACAGTGCTGGGATGGCAGAGAGTCCTGAACACATAACTTAGGGTGTGTTTGGAAACCCGGGAAATGATTTCTTTCCGGATTTTTGGTGTATGGCTGTGCAAGGAAAATGAAAGTCAAAGGAAAATGCCACATAGTCAATAGAAAATGAGGTTTTTTTTTCCGGAAAATGACTTCCCCTTTTTTTTTTTTGGGAAGTCATTTTCCATTCTTTGTTCTCTCATCTTCTGGCTAAAAAATTTCCGCGACTTCACCAACACTTATTGCGCACTGTTCTCTCCTCTTCGAATTTGATTCTCCGATTTGTGACAGTACATTTTCGGCGAGCAGATATTGTTCTCTACTGGCTCTGGTGTCCGGTCGGACACCAGAGAGCAGTACTCTCTGGTTTTCGGCCGAAATCAAAGAACACGGTCGGAAACCAGAGAGTACTACTCTTTGGTTTCTGCCGTCTCTTTTTTTTTTTTTAACTTTTTTATAACTTTTTAATAGATAATAATATCATTTGATTTTAAAAACATAAATATTTTTATATTTTAAACAAAATAATTAATTATATAAACTGTTTAATTATATAATTTTACCTCATTTTCCCGAAAATGAACTAAACACACAAAAGACAGTTTTCCGCTTTGAAGCCAAACACGAGAAAGGAAAACGTTTTCCGGAAAATAACTCATTTTTCAGAAAACATTTTTCAAAAGTCATTTTCCTGCTTTTTAAACGGACGATTAATTATTTTTGATGGAAAACAAAATACAAATCCGTTGTAGTCTAGTTGGTTAGGATATTTGGTTCTCACCCGAAAGACCTGGGTTCGATTCTTGGCAACGGAATTTTATTTTATTTTTCCCCATTCCCGTTGTTCACACTTCACACGTTCTTTATTCCCAGTATTAAAATTTAAATTCATACATGTCCTGTCGTACACGAAATAGAATTTTGACGATACATTGTGCTGTTTTTCAGCTTTTTTTTTTTTTCCACGTAATTTTAAATCGAAAAGTTGTAAAAAGTGAAATAAATTGGTAGTTTTTTGGTATCCATTTGGATTATAAACTATAATGGATGATGATCAACGTTGAAGGTTACATAATGTTGAACAAAATGGAGAAACTGATGCCCATATTTCCATTAAATTATACACATTTTTACACTGTAAAGCACACAATCTGGGATTGAAATCTGTACCACATAAAAACATGAGAACCAACCACTCATGACTGGTAACATTTCGACGAAAACTGTACATGATACAGACCTTTTTTTTTCCTTGATTGGGAGTAGCGAAATTCGCGCTCTAAACGCTTTTCTATGGAGGGCAAAAGCACCACAAAATATGCCATTACAGATGTATGACAGCCACTCTTGAAGCCAATGCAGCGGTCCTGTGTTTGATGACAGAGATCAGATCGACGGGCCAATAGCCACCATACATGTATAATGATCTTCCAACCGAAAGAAAGTTCCACTCGTGCACACACACGCTTCTATACAACTTACTCGACCTTAAAGTCTTGAGCCTCGCCTTGTAGATGGACTAGAGACTGTCCGTGAGCCCATGCTTGCTGTTCTTAGAAGCTTGCGGAACTCTGATAAGCTTATCTTCCCATCTTTGTCGATGTCTGCTTCCTCTAGGAGTGGGTCTATGGAGCCTCTTAATCCGGTATGCTGCAAGAATTTAGTATCTCGTAAGTAAAAAGGTGTTTGTTCAATTGCATAACTACACGTCTACACCCTCAAAAGTTTACGAGAGAAATTATATTCTTCCAAAAGGTTGAACCCCAACCCTAAGGCCCTCCCCCCACACCCCGACCCGACAGAGCATTTGGGAGGATGTAAATCATGGTAACTCAACTGAACATGAACCACAGAGGCTAGACCTTTGCTCACTGCGCACAAGGAACCCCCCTCACTTTGAGAGGTAGCTCCCACACTGCCGCTGGTGAGACTCGATCCCTGGTCATTCTTCCAAAGTTTCACCTCTATGACCAGTTGAGCTGCCCATGCGGGTCGAGAGAAATTATATTGCGGGGAGAGGTGATTGTGTGCCAGCATTCTTCGTAACATTTGTGGTTCAGACCGAAAATGGTACTAGGCATGCAAGCTAGAAAGCAGGGAATGAAGAAATACTGACCAATTTAAGTTCTTCTTGAGTTATATATCCATCTTTGTCGATGTCAAATTTCTCAAAAGCAGCTTGCGATCTTTGTTGCCAATTTTCCGAATTATGTTCCTCCATCTGGTTGACATGTAACGTGGCAGCAACGAACTCTTGGAAATCCACAAGTCCGTCTGTATTGCTGTCAATCTGTCAAGCAAACAACGAATGCAAATCAGGGATTGAGTACAGAGGAGATGGAAATAGCTTTGAATATCAAGAGATGTTAAGCTGCAGAAAACGATTCTTCATGACTTCGATGTAAAATATCGAAATTTAATGATCAAGAACCACAGGGATGTATGATGCATAATATGGACATTTGCTACTTGTCACTCGTCAAGTCTGATCTAGTCCCAGTTTTTTTTGGGTGACGAGAGAAACCTGCAACCACTACCTAAGGGTGTGCACTGTGTAAACCCCGCCGTGTGACCCTAGCTGGCAAGGATCACAAGGAAGTAAACTAACCTAAGTTGCCCATAGTCATAGTTGCAGTAGGCGCTAGGCGCTAGTCGGACAGTAGAGTAACGCCTAGTGCACATGTGTGGGTGTATGTCATATATATATATATATATAATATTAGTAAGGCCGAGTTAACTTGGCTAACTCGGCCGAGTTAGGCGCCTAGGCCGATTTTAGTGCCCATAGATGACCGGCTCAAACCAAGAAGGCCAATAGGCCGCTCCCACTGGGAGTCGAACTCAAAACCTTGTGGTTACCAAGTCAACAGCCCAACCAACTTAGTTGGGATTGCTCCATCTATTCTCAATTTTGACACTTCATTTCAATGTTATTATTTAGAAGGGGAAGGAAAAGGTACCGCTTGAAGAATCTCAAGAACACGTGATTCTTTCATCTTCCATGGAAGATCCTTAGCAAGAGCCTGCAATAAAAGTGACTATATTATACATCCCAAAAAACAAGCAACAGAAGGATCACAAACACACCCGTGCAGCAAATATTGATCAATAAGGAACGCAAATCTAATAAGTAAAGCATTGTGCGACATATGGAAGAAATATACCTGTCTCATTTCTTCAAGACTAATGACACCATTTTTATCCACATCAATGGCAGCAAATTGATCTTTGAGATCGGCCAACTCCTCCTCTTGAAGTGTCGTCGCTAGGGCCTGCAAGATTGTGAACAAACATTAATAAATAGAAAAAACGGAAGAGAACAATGATTAGATCAGAACGAGCATTTCAGTTGTTATAACGAAAAGTTTAAATGGAAGTAAAAGATATGAGGTTACCCTTAATGCAAACTGCTTTAGATGGCCGTACTTAACAAATTGTCGCATGTTGGATAGTACAGAAATGTCTAATGGGATGTCGGATGCATTACCACCTTCCCGGACCCATGGATGTGCTGCAAACATTTTGAGTGTGTAAGTATAAAAATAATCCAAGAATCCGGCACCAAAATCTTAAAAAAAAATTGGTCCACTATAGAACATTCGAGGTGTATTAAGGACACAAACAGCAATCATTTTCAACTATAGAAAGAAAAACAAGAATATGGTTTTATAATCTGGATTTGGTAGAATAATGATATATTGATATATTTTATTTTGGTCCACCATAACACATTTGAGCTGTATTAATGAAGCAAACAACAACCAATTTCAACTATAAAAAGAACAACCAAAACATGGTTTTATAATCTGATTTGGTAGAATGATTAACCAAGACATATTCCAGTAAAAGAGCGAAAAAATTTTAAAATTTGCAGTAACATAGTACTTACATAGGGCCTGAGCGGCAGTGAGTCTGACACGAGGATCCTTCACCAATAATTTCTTAACAAAATCTTTAGCGCTGTTGCTTATGGTTGGCCATGGCTTGCGACGGAAATCGGGCTTATTTCTTAGAACCTAAGTATAAGTGAATGTAAATGTTAGGATACGAATGTCCATACAAACATAAAAGGGAGGGAGAAGGGAACGGCCCCCACTATTTAGGGTCGCAGAAAGGAAAAGGAACAATCGAAAATTTATGAATAGCATAGAAATTAAAAGAAACCCTCGGTAGCGCACCTCCTTGAATATACCATCTTCGGTTTTGTCCCAAAAGGGCCGCCGACCACAGAGCAAAATATAAGTTATTACTCCGATACTCCAAACATCTGATTCAGGGCCTGATCTACGCTTCAATACCTCCGGGGCAACATAATATGCACTACCAACAATATCTTGAAATTTCTTCCCTGCATTTTATGTTTTTTTTTCCCGTGAGAAGTTTATAAGTAGTGTTGAGCATATAATCATTAATGTGCAATCTAACTATCAGCTTAGGCTTTTAGTTGAGATGGGGCACATGCTTCAATTTGGTATAAGAGCCAGACCAAAGGTTATGGGTTCGAAAGACCATAACATTGCATAGAACATATAAATACCTGGTCTTATGAAGTCTGAAAGACCAAAATCAGTGGCCTTCAATGGAGAATCCGCTTTTGGTGACTTGAAAAGAAAATTCTACATTAAAGAAAAACGTGTGAGAAAAGCAGAATACGAAGCACGACCCCTCTTATTGAACCCATATATTCCTAATACCTCCGGTTTCATATCACGATGCACCAAACCATGTAAATGACATTCTGCTGCAACTTTTAGCATCTGCCGCACAACTATTGCTGCATCCTTCTCGCTATAACGGCTGTCTTTTCTAATTACAGGAAACTATTCGTAAGTCCTATATAGTTTTATACATTTTAATCAGGTATTCATATGATAGAGCACACATTGCAACCTGACCAGTGAATAATTAAACAAAGTGAGTCGAGAATACTTACTTCGCCAAAATACGGTCCAGTAATTCTCCACCTTCACATAATCTAAAAGAATAAGAGATTTGTGAATAAACCATTGTGACTCAATAGGGGCAATGGATCTATAAGAGAATGAAGGTCCAAACTCCAAACAAAGAAACTTACTCCATTACAATATACACATAATTTTCATCATCAAACGCGTTATGAAACTGAACCACATTCTCATGACCAGCTAAGGCCTTCAATATTTTCACTTCACGCCTGACATCCTCAACAGCTATAGGAAGAAGCATCTGCCATAACTCTGGATTTGTTAGGAGAATTGCCACTAAAATACAGGAGAAATTTTTTTAAAAAAAACTGCAAACTTCGATTGCAGAGTAACTAATCACAATTCACACATGATACTCAAAATCCAACATTCAAGCATTAGAGGCTCGTTCAAATGGTTCTACATCAAACCAACTTGGAAGGATGTGGATCAAACACAATAGTATTTGTTTTAGTGACTACATATGGTCAGATGTTCTGTTTAGACTCCCTCCAGAAATTGATCACTTAAAGAGTTAGAGGATAAAACCACTAGTTCAGCATAGAGATTAGAGATACTATCCATCATTGCTTAACCAGTGGCAATTAACTTCCTAATGCATCTATAATTAATAGATTTCAAGTGATTATATCAGTAATAAGTAGATAACAAAGTTATGAAATCAAGACACAGTCACAGCAAAATCAAAACTTTATCCCAACCATGAAACCAGTGGTCAGAAATATGAGAATTGAGAAGTTTATCCTTGTCAAATCCAAGAGTTGAAAACCAGGAAACTTGATTGGGAATTAGGAATAAAGATGAAATTCCCCCAACTATATGAATTTCACTCACTATGAGCTCAAAGATTTCACAACAAACAAACCCTACATAACAAGGTGAAAGCAAATCAAAGAAAAAAGAAGAAGGGAGAGGACTAACCTTGCTCTTCTCAATTCTCTTAACAGCAACCCGATCTCCATTTGACTTGTCCGTGCCAACATAGGTGTACCCGAATTGGCCATGCCCTAACAGCTTCCCAAGAGTATACCTCTGCCCGAAATCCTTATCGTATCCAAAATCCGTTCTTTTCCCGCAAGGGATAACCCCACCTTTCCTGGAACTGGCCTTCACATTGGAATTCCTCGGTTGCTGTTGCTGCTGCTGCTGCTGATGCCCTTTGTGAGCGGTTTCTTTAGCCTTCTGCTGAGAGCAATGCGGCGCCTCTCGCTTCGCAGTGGTGAAGGCCGGCGGCTTTGTGATGGCCTTGCGGGTGTTCGCGGCGGCGGCGGCGGTGGCGCCGGAAGAAGCGGCGTTGCTGTTAGAGCCACTGACTTTTGAGCTGGAAAAGCAGCTACCCATATCTTCAAAAACGGATGAAAACCCAGGGTTTGTTTGATGTTGTTCAGAGAGGGATTGGGAGATTCAAAATCATTAGATGAACAGAGAAAAATTAGCAGAAATGATACATGCAGGGATCGAAATGGAAGGGAGACTGGAATAAATATATAATGGCAGACAATTATGAGATTTTGGGAGGAAAGTTTGGAGCAGGAGGGAGGAAGAAGGGAAGAAGGTGGTTGTGGCGATGGTGGTCAAAGGAGATTTTTGGAAGACAGAGAAAACCCACCCGGTGCCCGGGGTGCGGGCTAGGGGGTGCAAGAAACCTCTTTCTTCCCCAATCCCCAATCCCCAATCCCCAATTTCTTTCTTTTCTTTCTCTTTTTTTTTTTCTGTCTTGATGCCATCTTTTGAACTTTTCTTTGCCTTTCTATTTCTACCTTCTTCCCTCAATTTATGTGTAATTACTCAGATTTACGGAAAATCCTACATTCGTCACTTCTAAGTGAAGTCTGTCTCATGACTCTAATTGATAAAGAATTACTTATTCACTTACACCTTAAAAATATTCACTCGTGCATCTATTATTTGGAAAATTCTTTTATTTTGATAAAAAAGTTTAATTTAAAAAAACATAGATGATTCTCTCAATATAATCTTCTCCTAAAATGTTGAATCTTCAATTTTAAGGGTCACCCACACTCAATCCGACATAATATTTAGGATGATGTAAATTACGGTGACTCAATGACTCAGCAGAAAGGGCCAAATGCATGTACGCACAAAGTATCTACCCACTTTAGGCATAATTTCTACATTGATGCCACCGAAGACATTGATATGTTATCCCAAATACTGCCTACTGAAACATTGAACTAAGCTTGTGCGGACACTCTCAATGTAATATTATCTCTAAACTTAATTGCCTAACATGATATATCTGTACACACAAGAGATCTACTCACTTTAAGCATAATTTCTACATCGATGCCACCGAAGACATTGATATGTTCTTCCAAATACTGCCTACTAAAACAACTAAGCTTGTGTGGGCACTCTTAATATAATATTATCTCTAAACTTAATTACTTAACATGATATTATCTACATTACTTATAAACTAATTGGTATCGATCATCACGTGTGAATACCATACAAACAAATAACAAAAACCATATTTGAGCCCTAAAAATACAATTATCTTAAAGCCAATGAGGAAATGATTTCCTACTCTTAATATCCTAACCCTGCATAAATATGATTAGACTTTAGACTTAGTGTGTGATTATAAGAAAATATGTGGTTGGACAAAAAAAGAATAACAAAGTTAAGAAGGAAGAAAATGTGAATATGCAAAATATTGGTGCTAGGGGTGTGAGGAAGTCAAAAATTAGAAGATTATAAAAGATGCAGTAGTCTTCTCTTTGAATTTTCTTCAGGGAATTTTTTAATGTTATTCTTAGCATGCATGGAGGTTACATCAACACATTGGAATTGGCTGTACACGTTAACCACTAAAAGCACTCCTCCTTTCCCACTGGTTCAGATAATTTTTTTATTTTTTATTTTTGCGATACGGAATTAGCTCAATAGTTCAGTAAGCAGTATTTGAGAGAAGAGACCAATATTCGAATCTTGATGGGTGGTAGTGTGAGGATTAGGGAACTATGTCCGAAGTGGGCAGATCCCTCGCACCGACATTTGACCATGTCAACTAAACAGATAATTATATTCATGAGAATTATTCTTCGATATTTGAATGTGCGCTCTGAGTGAAGTCCACCTTGTAACTCTAGCTGGTAAAGGATTACAAAAAGGTAAATCAATTTAAGTTGTCATAACTTTCAAAAAAAAAAAAAAATTTAAGTTGTCATAGTGCCCGCATGGGTAGTTCAACCAAATGACCAGGGATCGAGTCTCACCAGCAATAGTGTAGGAGTAACCTTTCAAAGTGAGGGGGGCTCCTTAGCTTGTGCGCAGTGAGCACCGGTCTAGCCTTTGTGGTTCATGTTCAGTGGGGGTTGGGGTTCAACCTTTTGGAAGAATTTAAGTTGTCATAGATAGTTGACTGACTCAAATCAAAAGACCAATAAATACTCCGTAACTTACATATAAAATCAAATTTAGAACCCCATAATTACCAAACTAACCTCAAATTTCTTACTAACACCTTCTTAAATGTTTACTTGCAAAAGTGATGATGATTTCAACACCTAACCAAATAATCCTTCTTCATCACACTACATGACTGGGCGACTGGCGTATGGCATCAGGAGTTACTCAATCTTGAATGATTATTATTATTAGTAAATTTTATATTTAAATTAATTACTTTCTAGCTATTACAGATTCATAAAACAAAAAAAGTTTGGCCTAAACAAAATTTTGCGTCTGGGGTTGGCTTTTTTTTTTTTTTTTTTTTTTTGGAAAAAAAGTTAGAATTATTATTTTAGTGATACTTGTTTATGTATAAAATTTGGCCTAATATGATAGGCTCACCATTCACCAACACATCATCATCCAACACTTGGTCCAACCAAAACCAGGCACAACACTCAAGTAGTAGCTAGCCAACCTACTTGAACAAATCATGTCATACTAAAAGTCTAAAACACCAACCCCATTTTCACGTTAAATTATTGTGTCTCCCTACCCGACAATTAGGGACAACCTTAATCAAATTGATCAAATAGTTATTTTGATAATTATAAATTTCACTCTTCATAAAAACTATCTATTGGTTTTTTACATCCCTCTGTCGGGCCGGGGTGTGGGGAGCCCTTAGGGTTGGAATTCAACCTTTTGGAAGAATTTTAGTTAATCAAATATATGGATAACCTAAACAAGTTTACCTCATCTTTATGTTCATTATTTGTCTGCTATCAAACCCTTTACCGACTAGGACTGGATGTCTAGATTTCACTCAAAACGTACCCCTCCTCGTGGGGTGTTCCCATGTGACCTTAATTCAAGCTGATTAACTATTGTTAATTTAGGACTCGCTTTATTCATAACGGGGTGTATAAATTTGATGGGATTGGAGAAGTTGAGAGGATTCAAAGATTGGGACTAAATATAATCACAAGCGTCACTTTCAGTGAGCAGGAATAATTCACAGCAACACTTGCATTGCTCAAAGTCCTTGTCTGTACACTAGTGTTGAACTGGTCTTTCTGAAGACTTCAAAGGTCTTTGTGTAGCCAGTCCAAGTCTCCTCTTACAATTACCTTTGAAACTTACTTGGAATTTTAATTTTTGGACCTGTTTACTACACAAAATTATATGGAATTAGTTTTAATAATTCCTCTATATATGAAAATTCTAAGCTCCTTCCTATATTGATTTTCTTCTTCGGCCTCTACGAATCGCAAGTCGCGCAATCAGCCCACCGGTTTCATATGCTTTTATACATGTTTTCAGTGGAATTTGAACTTTTACACTGCGAACTACGCTAAGCTTCAGGGGTGACTGATTGATTTTATTATATTAATAAATGAACTTTTTGTCATGTTGTGTCATAGTCCTGTATAGTAATATAAAATAAGAAATTTTCTCTTGATTTGCTTAAAATAATTAAGAAAATATTTGTAATAAAATAATTATCTAACTAAGATACAAATAGTCCCGTGTTTGTATGAGAATGATTTTAATACCACTAACAAGTGCACCAACTTGCCAAAATGACAAATAGTGGCCATTTGTGTTCACTGAAACTTTTTTTCTTCATATTTTCTATCCAATTGATTTGACCTAAATATCCATATCCTTCCTATTAACACACACACACACCCAAAAAAAAAAAAAAAAAAAAAAAAAAAAAAAAAAAACACGGTTATTATGTGAGACACTGTTGAAGTTTCCATATGTATAGAACATCGTAAAATGTTTGTATATATTTATGATGTAATAACTCATCAACCATATGCAACTGATCAGTAAAACTGGTCTGATAGATCCTTGAAATTTCATTCAGATGGGAATTTTGCGACAAATAAATTAGGTGTAAGTTAGCAAGCATTTGACCTGAGCAACAAATCAGTTTAATATGGAATTTTTTAAAACAAAATTTCGTCAGCATTTGAAAATTTGGACCGATTAGCTTTGACTAAAAAAAACGTGTTCTGCCCGTCAAATGTTTACATTGTAACGAAGTTACGTAACACAACACAAAGGTTATCTATTAGTCTTTAAGTTGATTTATCTCATTATAATATTTTACTGGCTAGAATTATAAAATGGTATTCACTAATAACAGAAATATGGAATGCCCAAGTATGTATGACTTCAGTCTCCTATTTAACCACATGTTGGGAGATATAGCACGTAATTAATATGCAAAAACAAGTAACTAGACATCAGCATTAGAAAATCAACAAAAAACTAAGTAATTCATAACGAGGTTAAGGCAACGACAACTAAACAAAATAACACAAACACATATTAACAAGTTATAAACACAAAATAAAGAAATAGGACACACAAGCTAGCTAGGGAACATTATCTTCTAGATGCTTCAATTCAATAACCTATGTGATTAGGGAGAACAAATAATCAAAGAATCAAGTGAGATTGCACGTAGGTATTCTAGTATAAAGCTACTTCCTTGAGCAAATAAACAACGATTAGACGAAGGAATTTCCCCACTCTCATGATGTATCAATTCTAAGTCCATCAAGCACAGAAAACATCTAAAGCCTCCAATTTCCCCTATTTTCATAGGAACAAATCGGGTTTATGCAAGGGGTGACTCAAATCCTTGATCGAATTCTTGTTGTAACCAAGAATTCTACAAAAACATGTTAATAAATGTGTATATCAAACACTAACAAGATATAAACACAACACCATCATAAACACATGAACCCTAGGTTAGAATCCTACCCATTCTGCATTAATCACAAATAAAGCATCAATATAGACAGAGAAAAGAAACATAAATATCACAAAAGAACACAAAAGCACAAGTAATAAACATAAATATTGCAAAAGGAAGAGATGACAAAAATGATAACTTATCTACTGAAAATGAGACAGAAATCTTGAAATCCAAGCTTCAAATTCAAGATTACAAGTTTCAAAAGTGCTAAGGAACCTAAATCTAAGACTAATCCAACCCTAAAATATGAAACGAATGAGTAAAAATTGGCTAAGGCTCAACCATGAAAATAAAGCTCAATTAGGGCTTAAATATACGGCAAAGAAGGAAAGGGCGGCCTCAGGGATAGACGTACGCCACCTGAGGTCACCCCTCACTTTTGCAAAATATATATAGTTTGAATCAATTAAAATTGCAAATATGCAGATAAATGACAAACAAGAAATTATCAAAACGATCAAAAAATCCTAATTACATATGGTACTTTTACGTTTTGTTAG